ATCTATCTATCTATCTATCTATCTATCTATCTATCTATCTATCTAAAGAGTTTCTTTCTTTCTTTTCTTTAAGAGAGAACCTCAAATCTTAGTCTTTTATGCATATAATCATATATCATGATTGCATAACTGCACAGCTTGACTTCGGCCGGCCGGCGGCCGTCGCCGTGGCAACGGGCGGCCGTCGTCGCCGTGGCAACGGGCCCACTTACGGTGGCGGACTGGCCGGTGGCCCCGATGGCCCTGGAGGCCTTGCCCAGGACCTGGTACCCGTCTGCGGACGTGTTCCCGGCGGGGCCGAGGGGCTTCTGCTCCGTCTCCTGGCAGTCCACGTCCAGCCGCACGCCCCCGGGAGAGACCAGGATGTGGAGCTACAGGGGGGGGGGGGGGGTTTATTAGCCTTATTATTATCATTCCTTTGTTCTGCCACCAAAACCCAGAGTCTGGTTCCCATCTTCGGGGCCTGGGAGCCATTTTATTAGCTAAATAATTAATTGTCTTTATTTATAAATACGTCCTCGTTCGGAGTAAAATCAACTCTGACATGATCTGACTTCTCCTAAAAAGGAAGAATTTCCTATCTCTTATGTTCACAGGATGGGTAAGTCCACAGATGTTTCCATGGCGATCCGCCATTTTGAAAAACTACTCTAACTGTCTAGCTAATCCACGATGCATTTTCTTTACCATATCTAACAAAAAACCCTAACCCTAACCTAAAAAAAACAGTTATAGAAATATCACTACACACTACACTACTATATCACTACACACTACAAGTCCACAGATGTTTCCATGGCGATCCGCCATTTTGAAAAACTACTCTAGTTGTCTAGCTAATCCAAGATGCATTTTCTTGCACGTTTATCCCCCCAAAAATAATTATGGAATATATCACTACTAATTAGCACAGTTCCTGATTTTCATACTGTAACATTGGTTTGTTCGTTGTGTGTCCAGTTGTTAGTTAACGCTAGCTACAACATAGGCTAGCAATGCTAAACTACAAACAAAAAACAAGCTAACCTGGCAACGTGATTCTCTATCTTGTTCTAGGGGTAATAACATGCTCCTTAAAGGGACATTGTGTAGTATTTTAAGTATTTTATTAGCTAAATAATTAATTGGCTTAATTTATAAATACGTCCTCGTACGGAGTAAAATCAACTCTGACATGATCTGACTTCTCCTAAAAAGGAAGAATTTCCTATCTCTTATGTTCACAGGATGGGTAAGTCCACAGATGTTTCCATGGCGATCCACCATTTTGAAAAACTACTCTAGTTGTCTAGCTAATCCAAGATGCATTTTCTTGCACGTTTATCCCCCAAAAAATAATTATAGAATATATCACTACTAATTAGCACATTTCATGATTTTCATACTGTAACATTGGTTTGTTCGTTGTGTGTCCAGTTGTTAGCTAACGCTAGCTACAACATAGGCTAGCAATGCTAAACTACAAACAAAAAACAAGCTAACCTGGCAACGTGATTCTCCATCTTGTTCTAGGGGTAATAACATGCTCCTTAAAGGGACATTGTGTAGTATTTTAAGTATTTTATTAGCTAAATAATTCATTCTCTTCATTTACAAACGTGTCCTCATTTGGTGTAAAATGACCTCTGAAATGATCTGACTTCTCCTCATAAGGATGAATTTTCTACCTGTATGGGGGGGTTATTATAGTGCTATTTCTGTCATAACTTCTACCATAATCATTTGTATTAATATCATTGCCATTTTTCATGTAGTCTACAGTGGGGGAAATAAGTATCTGACCCCTTGCTGATTTTGCAGGTTTGCCCACTTACAAAGAATGCTTATTTTTCCTCATCAGATGGTTATCAATTTTTATCAATTCATATGATGTGATTTTCTGGAATTTTCTTTGGGATTCTGTCTTTCACGGTTAGAATGTACATATGATTAAAGTTATACAGTGGGGTAAATAAGTATTTGAGCCCTTGCTGACTTTGCAGGTTTGCCCACTTACAAAGAATGCAACGATCTATAACTTTAATCATATGTCCTCTGTTGTTGTGATGTGGCGCTAGATAAATAACATTGAATTGAATTGAATTGAATTGAATTGAATTGGAGGATTCCTTTGTTCTGCCACCAAAACCCAGAGTCTGGTTCCCATCTTCGGCAGCTCTGCTCGGAGGCTTTTTCCACAGCAGGCCAAACTTTGCTTAAAGGAACATCGTGTTTAGTATTTTAATAGCTACATAATTCATTCTCTTCGGTTATATATCGTTTGGAATGGAAAGTGCGCAATAACTTGGTGTTCTGCCTGTTGTTTTATTCTTGAATGTTATGTTTAGTTAATTACTATTTATTTATTCTATTTATTTATTTTCATATTATTATGTTTGTATGCATGTATTTTTTTTCTGGTTCTTGTAGTTCCCTTTTTATGGTTAATTTTTGTTGGAAACGCAACAGGAAACGAGTCCCGTTCCCTTTTTATGGTTCATTTTAGTTGGAAATGAGTCTAGTTCCCTTTTTTCTAGATAATTTTTGTTGGAAACGAGTCTAGTTCCCTTTTTTTGGTTCATTTTTGTTGGAAATTCAACAGAAAATGAGTCCAGTATAATTTTTTCTGCTTAATTTTTGTTGGAAACACATCAGGGAACGAGTCTAATTCTCTTTTCCTACTTAATTTCTGTTGGAAACGCATCAGGAAACGAGTCCTGTTCCGTTTTTATGGTTCATCTGTGTAAGAAATGAGTTTAGTTCCCATTATATAGTAACTTTTTGTTGGAAATGCATCAGGAAACAAGTCTATTTCCCTTTTCCTGCTTCATTTTTGTTGGAAACGCATCAGGAACCTGCCGGGGACTGTCTCACCTTGTGGAAGCTGCCGTGGAAGATCCTCTTCACCGGGCTGCTGTCGAACGTGACCCTCTGGGTTTCTCCCCGCTGGTCTCTGTTGTAGAAGGAAACCGTCTGGCCCGAGGCTAAACAGAAAGAGAAAAGCTCTATCTCAGAAAACCGTCTGGCCCGAGGCTAAACAGAAAGAGAAAAGCTCTATCTCAGAAAACCGTCTGGCCTGAGGCTGAACACAGAAAGAGAAAAGCTCTATCTCAGAACAGCTCACACCAACTTCAGAGGGACGCCACACAGGAAGTGGCCGAGGAGCTTTTATGCCGCGTTTTCCCTGTTTTTGGAGGAGAAACCTGACATCTTTGGTCATTTCTGACAAAAAACCCTCATTTGGCTTTAAACTTGGCAGATTTAGGACAAATAATTAGGGAAAACCTGCCAAATTTGGTCACCTCTGACCATTTATGGCGGTAAAAAACCTTAAACTAGCTCCAAACTTGTCAGAATTATCTCTATCTTTTTCCAGAACGGTTCGGATTTGGCCTGACCAGCAGCAGCCAATCAGGACGGAGAGCACTCACGGTCGATGGTGACGCCGGTCTAAATTAAAACCTTAATTTGGCTCCAAAGTAGGCAGAATTACAACAAATAATTAGGGAAAACCTGCCAAATTTGGTCATTTCTGACCATTTATGGCGGTAAAAAACCTTAAATTGGCTCCAAATTTGGCAACATTAGGAACAAGAAATTAGTAAAAACCTGCCATCTTTTTCTTTATAATTCAGCTCCGAACTTGGCCAAATTATCAAACTTTTTGGACTCTCGGGGTCCCAGAAAACAGTCAAAATTAGATATAAAAGCAGTCTTGCTTCTTCCCTCCTGATTTATGCTGCATTTTACCTTTTTTGTGAGTTAAAACCTGCCATCTTTTGTCACCTCTGACCATTTATGGAGGTAAAAAACCTTCATTTGACTCCAAACTTGTCAGAATTATCCCTATCTTTTGCCAGAACGGTTCGGATTTGGGCCTGACCAGCGGCAGCCAATCAGAACGGAGAGCACTCACGGTCGATGGTGACCCCGGTCTGGGGCTTGTGGTCGC